TTCTTAAGTCGGTATCCATAGCCAGTCTTGTTGATGATTTGGCTGAGGGGGTTCAGGCCTATGTGTGTGTGCAGAAGGTAGAAAAAAATACACATAACATAGAAAAGGGGATATATAAAAAATAATAAAACAATAAAAAATCATAACCCCTTGACAGAAGCCCACTCACATTTACATTTGAAATTCACACAGTCTCTAGAAGTGAGCTCCATGCCTTGACAGCAGGTTTTTTAGCTCTGTTAGCTCTAGGTATCGACAGTTCTAGATAAATGATGTACAAATATGTCAAAACCCATGCTTGTAAAGAGAGTAAGTGTGGAGGTTTCCAATGTGCTGCCACTAGGTTGTGCCTGTGAGTCCTGCCATCACTGCTGATTTGTAAATTGTGATAATTTAATACAAAGTTGGCATTTTTAATGGACTTTTAATGCAACTTTTAGAGCAACTTTGCATTAAAAGTGTCATTATTTACCGAATGACACTTCATGACAACAGTCATAAGCATTCATAAAGACTCCTTTAAGTTCATAACAGATGTTATGTCATGTTTATGATGGGTCATGTCAGTCTATGCACACCCCTTCAAATAAAGTGTTACCATTTGGGGTAACAAAAACTGATCTAGTCTTGAAACAAACTCAGCTGTAGATTTAACAGCACTGAACAGTTTCTGAAGACAATGTGTTGTGAGAGGGCCCCATAAGGGACGCCACTGTCTATTACAGATGATCTTAACTGTAAGTAGAAGAAAAAGAAGGTAACTGGCACATCAAACTTATTACATATATCCTGAAAAATGAGTAATCCTCCTTCTCCATAAATGTCACCAAGCATGTGAATATTTTTCTTTTCCCAGATGGGAAAATAAAAGTGATAGAAAACCTGGGCAGTTCAGTGAGATTCTGACACTGGGAGCAGGTTACTGGTTTCTCAGTCAGCAGCTGGTGTTATTAAGGTAGATCAAACTTCAGCCTGACAGGAGGAACCACAGAGCTCTGTTAGGTTAAAGCTCCTCCCATGAAGTTGGGATTTTTTCCTCCAACAGGATCAGAGGAATCACCTCAAATGTTGACTGGATTTTATTTCAATGTGATTTGGGAGAGCCTCATGTTCAACAGTAAAGGTTGATAAAGGTTTTCATTTTGGAGAAAGTCTCAACGTGAATATTTCCACTAAATAAGAGACAAAAATAAATCTCATGTTTGATGGAGGAAAATCCTCTCAGACTCTGAGCTCAATGCCAGAGAGCAGCAAGTTACACTCTAAAAAGAAAATAGTTGAACCAACTTAATTTAATTGCTTCTATGGGTAACAAGTAATTCAATTAAGTTTATCCAACTTAATTTATTAAGTTTATCCAATTCAATATATTATAATCATCCAACTCAATTTGTTAATTTTTTAAATAAATTTATTAAGTATGTTTAAAATAACAGATTTAAGTCAGTCTTACTCAAATCACTTAGTTTACTTCAAAAAATGGTAAATGAACTTATATTGCACTTTTCCAGTCATTTTGACCACTCAAAGCACTTTACACTAGAGTCACATTCACCCACTGATACACAGATTGGTTAAGGCACATTGACAGGCAGGGAATCAAACCTACAACCTTCCGATCACAAGGTGACAACTCTTCCCACAGAGCCACGGTCGCTTACCCAGGAATCTGTCCCTGCTGAGCTTGAGTCCTGGTGTCAGACGTGGGATACAGATCTGGTATCAAACTTATTTCAAGTAAAGTCAAAGTAAAAAGGTCCTTTAAGGAAAAGATCTGTAACTTTTAAGTTAGAGTGTATTTAGATGACACTGTAAAAAGAGCATTAGGCTGCAAACTAAGAAGTCTGCAACCCAAAATATTTAGTTTGGAACTAATTAAAAGTTTGAGTTGACTTTCTGTAGAATTAAGTTAAAGAGATTTTAAATGTTTATTAGAACAAAATAAATGATTTGAGTAAGAGTGACTTAAATTTGTCATGTTAAACCCCCTTATGAATTAAGTTATAAAAACTTAGCAAATTGAGTTGGAAGGACTCAGGCTGCGTTCACACTGCAGCCTGAAGTGACTCAATTCCGATTTTTTGGCAATTCCGATTTTTTTGCCACGGCCGTTCACACTGCCAGTAAATGCGACCTGTATGCGTTCTGCAGTGTGAACCGGCAAACGACCTGAAAGTGTCCCGCATGCGCAGTAGAGGGCGCAATAGCGTCAGCGTTCTCAGTGTTCTGCCAACTGCCATAAAAAGAAGAAGTGCTCAGTGTTTGCGGAAGTAAACATGGAGGCTAACGGTGGAGCTTAGCTTACATATTTAAAGTTGTTGTCCGGCCGGAGCAGCATATCAACAACTTAATCCTCATATAATCCGTCATGGTTGTTGTTTTTCTTCCCGCTTGCGCTTATCAGGACGCAGAACAGTGAGATTTGTTGAGAGTCAGTGACGTTCAGTTCGGATGAAGGCGACCTGGACGTTAGGTCGCATTAGAATCGGATACGTATCGGATATGGGTCACATTCGAAAAAGAATCCGACCTGTGCTGTTCACACTGCCATGAAAACGTCAAAAAAATCGGAATTGAGTCACTTCAGGCTGCAGTGTGAACGCACCCTTAGTGAATCGAGTTGTATGATCATAATAAATTGGGTTGGTCAGACATATAGTTGTCATAGCAAAAGCAAAAGAATTAAGTGAAATTAATGTAAATAAGTCCATAAGATGAACTGCAGCCCAAATACACTTTTTAGAGAGTAGTTTTAAAATATTAGACAATCTTAATTGTATTAAGTTCATGTTTGTTAAATACTAAATGAACTAAGTTTGTCCAATGTGATGTTTGTTTAAACTCAGACGAACGAGGTGTTTATTGAACGTTCAGAAACTACAGCGGCTGAACAGATAAACAGAACAACCTGAACAGGTGATCAGCTCTGAACCATGAGGACCTTTTTACTCTGTCGTTTAAACACACCCGTTGCTGTGGCAACCGCCTGCGTCCCGCTTGCCGAGCAGAGTTTACGTTAAAAACGTAACATTCAGTCCAGGCACGTGCAGAGGGGGGGCCTGAGGGTGCTTGAGCACCTGCCCCATTAGTGGTCTCTGCACGGCCCTGATTCAGTCCGTTAAATCAGGCCTTCAGGCTGGATGTTTATCTTGTGATTATTAATCACAGCGGAAGCTGATGAGCTGATTTAAACTCCTGCTCTGATGGTCAGTCGGTCTTTGAGTCCCTTTTTATTTTATTTTGGTAATGGAAATGAAACGCACAGAATAGCGCAAACAATAATTATTGAGATTATTTAACGTTTTTGTATGTTGGTGAATATTTTGGTAAGCGCATCAGATGGTTGATAACTAATCAGGTCATGTGGGGGAAAAACGATGTTATGTTTTTATCAGAAGGGAAACTGATGTGGTGCCGCTGCAGCCTGGCCTGTATCCGATCTTCTCATGACAGTCTGAACAACGCAGGTCCGATTCTTTCCGAAAGCGACCCAGGCCACTTGGGTATCCGAGTCAAATGTGGCCCGACGTCCAGGTCGCATTCATCCGACCTGAACGTCACTGATTCTCAATAAATGTCTCTATTCTGCGCCTTGATGGCCAAGCGGGAAGAAAAACAACCATGACGGACTGCATGTAAGCTAAGCTCCACCGTTAGCCTCCATGTTTACTTCCGCAAACTGAGCGCTTCTTCTTTTCATGGCGGTTGGCAGAAGACTGAAAAGATGACGCTACTGCGCATGCGGGACACATTCAGGTCGTTTAAAGTTCACACTGCAGAACACATGCAGGTCACATTTACCTGGAAGTGTGAAATCCGACTTGACAAAAAATATGAACTGGGTCACTTCAGCCTGCGATTTCAGTACCAAACAGATTCTGAATTTTTCTAATCAGGACATCGAAGTGTTTGATCTGATGGATGGATTCATGTTCCTCTGGTAAAGATGTGAGCAGCTGGTCTCAGGCTCCAGAACCAGAAGGGCTGATGTTTTTTAATAGAATATACAGAATATTCAGTCAGGGTGCAGAAATAAACCAAAGAGGAAAAAACAAACATTTAATCAGTAAAATAAAAGCAGAATATATAAATACTTATATCTTTTTTTTATCTAAAACTATTTCTGTTTTTATCCATCTGTACTCCACTCTGCAGTCCAACAGGGGGCGCTGTGGTTTCTGGTGATTTTTGCCTAATGCTGATGTTTCCTCCGGACTCTGAAAACATCTGGACCAGGATTGTTTTAAATTATGAGACATTTATAATAGCTGGTTGTACAAATACACAAAGTGACGTCATGAATGTTGAATATTCTTGTTGGGGATTGGATGTTGGCGCCATACAGGAAGTTGTCATGTTTTACAGGAAGTGATCATGTTTGGTTTATGACCGTGGCAGCAGCAGGTTGATTCACCTCCTTTAGTTAAACCCCAAGAACTTTATGAGAATTATCACTTTGATGAAAATTCCCTTTGTAAAACTCTGACCGTCATTGGAACAAAGATCCTGTATAACAGACAGATGCCCTCCTCCATCAGTCCAAGCCAGAGGTTCTGGTTCTCCCCGTCGCCATGGTTACAGCTTGATGAAGAGCACCCCGGTGACGGCGGCGAAGCCCAGCAGCATCATGGCCACTTTGGGGATGCGGCCGCGGCCGGCAGCCAGCTCCTGCGGCAGGATCTCCATGAAGGTGATGTAGAGGAAGGTGCCGGCCGCCAGCCCCTGCAGCGTGCAGCGGGCCAGCCTGTGCTGCGGCGACATCCGGCTCTCCGTGAGCCCCACGCCCAGCGCGATGCCCAGCGGCGACATGACAGCAAAAGTCAGCAGGCAGCCGGACACCACGGCGCGCCGTAGCCGGCCCTGGGACAGCGCCGCGCTCAGCGAGAACGCGATGACGCTCTTATGGATGAGCAGCGCCAGGCAGACCTCCAGCACCTCCTGGCCACGCTGCAGCAGCCCCACCGCCAGCCCCTCCAGCACCGAGTGCAGCGACAGCGAGAACACCAGCACGAAGGCCCGCAGCGCCGACTGGGAGCCCGGGGCGGCGTGCAGGGGACCCGCCGGCTCTGCGGAGCCTCTGCGGCGCTGGGCCAGGCCGCCGCCGGCCGTCTGGACGCCGGAGTCCGCCATCAGGGCCCGGCGCTCCTCCAGCTGGGGCGGAGACTGGTCCTTAAAGGCCAGGACGATCTGCTCCAGAACCAGAACCAGGAAGAAACCCATGGCCACGATGAACTCCGGCAGAGGGAACTGGAGCTGGAACAGCAAACACACCACTCGGTACCAGAACCAAACAGAACCAGAACCCAGCAGCTCTCTGCAACTGGACCAGTAGCAACCAGAGTAACTAACAGAACCAGTATTCCGTGTATGGAAAGCTGAGGTTTTCAATCTGACACATTTTTTTGTATATTTTGTCAAATTAAAAGTTACGTCCTTGAATACACATGAACATAAATCCAACATGTAACAAACTGGTGTGATCACATGGTTTTGTTTGATAGATAATTTAACATAATTAAAAGCAGTTTAAAGTATATTTAATGAGGTGTTGCTAAAACGGTCCTGATAAATGAAGGAAGCAGTAAATTAGTTTAATTCCAGGTTGTTAACGTTCATGAAGCTCATGGAAATGATTCCCATAAAACCTTTACTATCTAATATTTATCATTCCATCAACCCATTATATGTAAACAATGTTTAGAAAATGAAATAACTGTTTAGCATGCTAGTTTCCTTGCTGCTAGCATGCTAGCTTAGCTGCTAACTTGTTAGTGGTGATTGTAGGGGTCCAATAGTTGCTACAGTCAGAAATGGAGACGTTCATGTTGATAATGTTAAAAGTTCTCCAACACGTTGTGTTTAAAATGAAAACATAAAGAAGCTAAACATTCCTATTGGATGCTCTGTGGTGCAGCACTAAATCTAGTTTATTATCAAAAAATGTACACTGAAAAACATTGAAGACTCCTGGATTAAATGGTTCTGCCAGGACCAGAACGGGCCGGTTCCTGGGCTCAGAACCATCAGCTGTGAGATGTTTCATCTGCTGAGGTCAAGGGTCGTAAAACATCCATGTTCCAGCCGAGTCACATGACGGCTCACCTGAGCGCCAGGTGAGCCGTCATGTGACTCGGCTGGAACATCTGATCAGCTTCCAACCAGAACCAGAACCAGAACCTGGGTGAAGGAAAAGGTCTTACAGATATAAATCTTCATCCTCCCCATGTCAATACTAAAGATGGACGATGTTTTTAAACATTTTCTTAAAAAGTCTGATTTTTTTTTTTAGAAAATAATCTAAAAATTAGTGACAGTTTAGAAATTTTGGCCTTAAAGTTTAGATTTTTTTACTCCAAAATGATGACGAATGAAGAAGCTTGATTAAAAAAAGAATTTAATCTATGAAAAATGAAAACCTAAAAGATGGGAAAGTGTTTGTTTGCATCAGCCGCCATGTTTGCTCCATTCTAGAGCTAAAATCATTCAGAGGACTGCAAAAGGTCCCCGGACCGCACCTTGGCCCCCTGCTGCTCCAACAGGTTTTCCTCTGAGATCTGGATTTAGCTCCATCCATCTTCCCTGTCCCACAGCATGATGCTGCCACCACCATGTTTACATATTCAGGCCTCACTTTTCAGATTTGTATGACTCTTGTCCACCAAACAGGATCAGTACGGCGCCCCCCAGTGGACAAGGGGAATGTTCTTCCTTTGCGTTTCCTCGCAGTAAATCAGCAAATCCATCCGGCTCCATTTTATCTCCAGTCAGTGAAAACAAACCAAAAACAAAAAACACCTTCAGAGATCCTGAGAGACCTTCTGGACTGGGTCATGTTTGGTTTTGAAAATGAAAATAGCGTTTAGATTTTCATCTGGGCCATCCCAACACACGACAGCAGATGCTTCATCAGTCCTGTGTAACACAGCTGCTAGCGTTAGCATCATCATTAGCTTTCATTATATCAGTGGTAATGATTTGATGTTTAAGTGCCAAATTATTTTAATCTGATTAACACTAAAGTTTAGGAGGTTGTTTTTATGCGTGCAACAGCATTTAATTTGTATCATTTAATGTAGTTTTAAACATGTATTTTTAATCATGTTATCTTGGTGTTCTTGGGGGCCCCCTGGTGGTGTGGGGGCCTGAAGCAACTGCTTAACTTGCATGTGCCTTGGGCCGGTTCTGATCAAAACTGTCAGAACTTTTTAACTAGTCGTTTTTATGAAACACAGTGTTTGACTTCTGATCTCATTATCCAGATTTGAGCAAACTACAAAAACCTGACAGCAGAAAGACTTTCAGTAGTTAAAAAATCCTCCATGTCCCCCAGGGGGCGCCGTAGACCTGGCCTGGTAAGCATGGGCTGTTTCTGTTGGTGTTGGTCGTACTTTGATCCCAGCGTCCCTGAACGCCTCGCCGATGCTCTGCAGGAAGTCGGGCAGCAGGTCCAGCAGGCAGGTGGCCATGAAGACGCCTCCAGAGAAACAGCTGATCAGGGCCAGCAGGCGGCGCCGCCGCTCTAAAACACACACACACACACACACACACACACACACACCTTCAGCATCGCTCAGCCGGCTGGTCCAGAGTCCGGATGGAGCAGAACCGGGCCAGTACCTGGGTCCCCGCCGCAGCGGCCGCCTGCCCTGACGACGCAGAGCGGGACGAACCCGAACAGCATCGTGACGGACAGCAGAACCACCAGCGCCACCAGTTTGATCTCCAGAGCCGGGAGGTCGGCCGGGTCGACCCGCAGCGCCGCCGGGCCCCCCTCAGGACGCATCAGGACCGTCATGGCCGCCTCAGAGCCCGCAGCAGCCTAGTCTGGACCGGAACCAGAATCTGTCAGAACAAACGCAGCCGTTAGCATCCAGGGCTCTGGAAACAAACCAGCGTTTCAAAGCTGCAGGTTGAAACTTTTCTGAAAATAATTTCTGGCAATGTCAATATGTTTAACCTGAGACGGAAAAGCTGACAAGATCCCAGTGCGAACTACAAACTCTACAGCTAGCATAGCATGTCAGGAATGCTAATGCTAGTTATCATAGCCACTGATGGCAGAAGATAAACGGCTTTCCTGTAGCGATTACTTGTTTCTCTGCCATTAGCACTTTAGCAGTGAAGACATGAGACTGGTTGGCAGCGCTAAGCCCCGCCTCCTGGCTCTGATTGGTTATTTTTGGTCATTAGCGGTTAGCACAGTGCTTCCTCAAGACCCCTGCTCTGCATGTTTTAGATGTTTCTCTGTTCCAGAACAGCTGATTCAAATGATTGCATGACCATCAAAAAGTGCAGAAGGCTGTTAATCACCACAGATTCAATCCAGGTGTGGCAGAAGGGAGACACCTGCAGGGCAGGAGGCCTGAGGACCGGAAGAGAAACACTGGGTTGGTTAGCAGCAGATTATCTGTCACAACATGGAGGCCATTTAAAAAATCAGGTTTTTATTAAAGCTGCTGCAGCTTTAATCTAGTTCCTGTTTCTCATTCCGGGATTCCAGACTGAAACTCCAGAAATCGGACTGGATCCAGATCCAGATCCGGAACCCTTTCCAGATCCGGAACGTTCCAAAGTATTCCTGGTAGTTCTGGATGGGTTCTAGAAATGGAAAGCAACTGATTGGATCAGAACCTTCAAATTTTATGACAAGAACCAGAACCGGGATTTTAGCTCCTTCGTATATCTGGAAACTTTGAGTTTCAGTCTGGACTCACACGGTTCTGTCTAAAAAAGTTATGACCCAAACAGAATCAGAAGTTTGGATCTGTACTCACATAACCTGAAGTTGGATCAGAACCATCAGAACTTTCCTGCTGAGCCTTCAGTCCGTTTCCAGTCGGAACCAGGCGGATTCAGACGCGAACCACAACTTTATCCACTTTGGTCCAAAGAAAAATCACGCGAGAAAACCCGCGACCCACCGCTACTCGTTAGGTTCCCGAATCTTGGTCTTCCCGGACCGGTTCGGTTCAGTCACGTGACCCAGCTGCTTTCAGGAGGAATGTTCTTCTCCTGACTGGGATTTATGGCGGACAGTCCGGGAAGATCTGACTCAGTTCCCATCACCAGATCCCGCCTCAACCAGGAGCTGACGTCAAACGCCCTGCAACGACACAGCAGCGTACTTCCGGTTTTCAAATTAAAAGGGAAAAAAAACCTGATACAACTTTTGTATTTCATTACATTTTACTATACCTTATTATTTTATTTGTTGAAGTTTAAAAAAAAAAGTATTTCAGCATCAAGTATAAAATCAGTTAAAGGAAACAGATTAAACTCCCTCTGGGTTTTTCCTCGTGCTTTTATTTTGAAGATGCCACCGCTTTTCCGGTGTAACCGTGTGTAACTTCCCTCAGCAGCAGGCAGAGGAGGAACCATCCAGTCGGAATCCTGGAACAGTGGGAGTCACTCCTTATCAGTCACTAACCAGAAAGGTCAACAACCCGCAGAACCAGAACCAAAACCCAGTCCGATTCCCAGAACCTGGAACAACCAGGTCAGGAAACATGGAGGCGCTAACAGAGACGGTCACAGCAGGAAGATTGTTTTTATGTTTGTGTTGGTGAAGAACAAAAACACGTTTTGAGCAATAAAAAATCATAAGAACAAAAAATTTGCCAAAAGAAAACAATTGTACAAACTGTAACATTATGGAGCCTCATAAAAAATTATTTAATACCAATCAATAATTTCAGAGGAGAAAATTTCCATGTTGTCATTTATGTCCAACTGGATGCAAATATTGCTTAAAGTCTGGTTTCCTCTTCCAAAATCAGTATTTGTTTGTTGAAATTTTGTTTCATATAGTGAATGAATTGATAAAACCTTTAGATTAATTTTGTTGAAACCCAAACATGACATGTTCCAAAATGTTTTTCAGTCAACTTAGTTACAGAAATGTTGCCTTAATACTTAAGAGAGAGGACACATCCAGAACAACTAGGACTCAGGTCAAAGGTCACAACAGCTAGTTGAGCTTTACATCCGACACACTGAAAACTTGTTTTCACTCATTGGCCTTAAACCCGACTGAGGCCTGATTTCACTCAGTTTTTCAATGATATTTTGTTGTTTTATGGTTTATTTTATCATTTCTTTATCTTTGCACTTTGTTTCAACTGTGGCTGATCCTTTTCTAAAGCATCGCTTATCTTGATTAGGTTAGCTAGCATAGCATTAGCATCATTGGGGTTTGGGCTGCCAGTTGAAGATGGTTTCTTGTTTGTTTTTTTTAAAGTGGCCTTTATTTGAAAGTAGCCAGGAAAGAGATTAATGAGAGAGGCTGGGAATCGAACCTGTGACCACCACCACGAGGACTAAGGCCTCAGCATGAGGGTCGTACTTTGCCCCTGCACCACCACAGCAGCCCAGGTTTCTTAGAGTTACCGGAGGTGGTGGGAAATCCTTCACGTCATCAGCCTCGGGTTGAAGAGTGAAGAACTGCAGCCATTTATCTCGATCCTCTGCAGCTGCTGCGCTAGTTTCTCAACTTGTGTTATTTTTCTGGCACCTTCCTGGGATTAAAATAATATTACAAGATACAAAAGCTTTTCACTCTTATGTTAGGATATGCATATGGCATTAGATTTGTTTCACAATTATTCAATAAAAAAGAAAATCATGTCAAAGCAAAAATCATTAATCCATCCATTTTCTTTACACCCTTGTCCCTTGGTGGGGTCAGGAGGGCTGCTGGTGCCTCTCCAGCGAGCATTTCAGGCAAGAGATGGGTCACCCTGGACAGATTGCCAGTCTGTCACAGGGCAACACAGATGACAAACAACCATGCACACACACACACCTAGGGGCAATTTGGAGAGGCCAATTAACCTGACATGTTTTTGGACTCTGGGAGGAAACCGGAGTACCTGGAGAAAACCCACACATGCACAGGGAGAACATGCAAACTCCATGCAGAAAGACCAGGGCTGGGAATTGAACCCAGAACCTTCTTGCTGCAAGGCAACAGCTCTACCAACTGCGCCACTGTACAGCCCTAATCATTATTTTTTTTTTATTTCTTTGTTTTTTTTTTGGTTGAAACTTTTTTGTCGATTGAACTCGTTTTCTTGCTTATACAACTTTATTTGCTTTGGGGAAGCTTACATGAACATTCTGGGCGGGGCTTAAGGACGAGCGATGTAAGACGTGTTCCGATTGGTTAGCGCTGACTAAAGCGGATGACTCCCTGAGATCTCAGAACTCTGTCCCGAACTGCAGGGCTTCGGTGACGGGACACAGAATGTGATGGTAAGTAATCTTCACAAAACTACACCGTTTAGCAGCTACTACAGTGCCCACCCTGTTTCAAAGAAGAAATCTTACTCAATTTATGACGACATATTTTGTCTGCCGCGATCCCCGGTAGTATATTGTGCTAGCTAATGTTAGCACTAGGTAAAGTTCATAAACTAGGCTGAAATCATTTTAAACCA